ATTAAAAAACATGTTACAAATTAGCCTCCATTTAAACTCGCTCAATTTTATTAGGATAAAATTACAATTAGATTGATCTTTTTTTTATTATAATAACTTGGGAGGTATATGATCAAATATTTGATTGCTATACTTTCAGTCGATTATTTAGCAGGTATGAGTTGTTCCAAGAAGAGTGATTATTGCGGTGCCAAATAACGTAAATATATAAATTCAAATAATAATAACTCATGCAGTCGAGCTGTGCAACATTACGTCCATTATGCAAGCATCTTCTGAAGTCAGTGGCAGGCCAATGAGCCCCATAAGTGGAATTAAGTAATAAAAATGAGTGTAACTCACATTGCAATAATAAATTTTGTTCTGAAGCCGGGAATCATAAAGGCAACCAGGAGTTTCAATACAGGGGTTGGTCGCAGTATTCCCAGCAGAACTCCTTCCACTTGTCTGCTCTATAGAACCATTTGCTAAATTATGCGCCGAATAATAAGAGGACTCATGTGGCATTGCCTGGTGTGGTACACCATCAGATATGTGATTGATGCCTAGGCAACAACGTGTTCGACAGCTGAGGCAAGTGGCTAGGCAAGTGAAGTATTCCTGCACAAAGGTGATGCCACCGATATCAGAGGGGATGTCAGTGCTAAACCTGCGATTAAGTGCCGCTAAGCAGGTAAAAATATGGGCGAGGCGACGTGGCGCCCTAACTGAGTTGTCATGTGTGAGCTTGTCCACAAGTTGCTTGAGGGGCTAGAATTGAAATAAAGGAAATAAAAAATGAGTATATTAGAGAGACAATTTTAATTCCTCCTGTGATGTTCTCAAAAAAACTTAGCGTAAGAGTAATGAGAACAAAATAAAAAGGGAATGAAAATGGATCTAAAAGATTAACTGTCAACAGTACTAATGAAAATAAAGACGGAACACCGAAATTCAAAAATACATCTAACATCGAAGGAATAAGAAGATTGAATGTTCTTGAGATCAGCATGAATCACCATCTTCACAATTACACAAGTGATAGTATGCTTAGATTTCATTTAGACCAAAAATAAACCAATAAGCTAATTGCATGATATAAAAATCCCCTCATACAAATTTGCGTTCTTATCACATAGAAGTGCAGTAACCCCTTTATCCAAGCCTCCCCAGCACCCACAAAAATATGAGAATCTATAATAAAAAAGTATGGCAATAGAAGATTGAACTAAATAATAAAATATGTTTTTATATGATAATTGTTGAATGACGATAAATATAGCCATAATGAAAATATTATTTTGCATCTAAATGAGTCCGCGCTACATTTGGAAGCATTTGATGAATAAATTTTTTCGTTAAAAGTAAATATAAATCAGTGTCACGGAAACAAACACCAGATTAAACTATAGTTAGGAAAATCGGCTGGTAAGACTTATGAGAGCATAAGCGACTTATGGAGCAAACGAATGGCACAAAGATGATTTTAGTGAAATAATATCACAAACTTTAGTGCATATCCTGTTGCTCCATTAAGTAAGATATATTCCATAAAAAGGCTGAGTTTTCAGTTTTAGATTCATCACTTGCAGCTAAATAGTTCAGTTTATTTTCATATCAAAGCAAAAGGAGAAACAAATAATGGAGATAAAGTGAGATAAGACGAAATTATGGAAGAGATTTTGAAAGATAGACAATAATTGATTCGTGATTGGAGGGAAAAATGTGACATTTGGCATGACTTATAACTTAATGTGATGAATGGATATATTAATTCAACCGAAACACATTAAAATTAAATAGACGTTCAAAGGATTATGTAAAAAGTACTAATTAAAGGTTAAAGCTATTATAAGAGAAGGTAGCTTGGCTAAAAATAGGCAGTATGAGGCCAAAAAACGAACTCGACTTAAATAAAAATTTAAACATTGTGGACTATCTCGAGAGAATTGTATTTTATAAGCAAGGATAGTGGAAAAATTATTTTTTAAAAACAATAAATAAATAACTCATTAACCTTCAGTAAATATTTTATAAGTAAATAAATTGCAAATGAGTAATAATATGGCCAACGCCACTTAAAAACCCCAAAACAAGCAGAATAGAGTGTAGCACAGGCTTACCGAGCCCCGAAAAATAGTTACCCTGAGCAGTAATGTTTTACAATATCAGAATAGGGTAGAAAAGGAAACAAAAATAAATAAAGGTCTACTATCTAAAAATTAGCTGACACTGGTAATATATCTAGGCTAGGGTCACTTTAAGGTAGCACAAAATAAAAATAGCAACAAATTCGTGGACCAATCTTATAGAATAAGCAGGCAATAGTTTTCTTTAATCGAAGGCATGAAGCCCAAGATGTTGTTGCCGTTTGTATGGTCGCGGTCTCTACTTGTATAGTAGTTGCTTGAACTTTTTTGGCAAATTGGTCGTACTGGTAGGAAGACCTAGAGGAAAGCAATTAGTCCGGAGTTCATAGTATGCATGATAATTTCCAGAGTTGGACCGTCAAATTGGTACATTCACAGACGTTTCGCCGGCATCGTCCGTGAGCCTTGCCATTCTTAACACCATACTACAACTCAACAAAGAGACCCGAACAATTGGCACGGACGGGACAGAAAGCGGACTAAAAAGCGACAGAATGGTTAGCTCCATATGATGAAAAAACGAGAAAAAGCAAGATCCAAGAGGACATCGAAATAAATCTAATGAACAGAAGATTTGAGGAAGGCAGAATCAGTGAAAGTTTAGAATATAACCTAATCAAACTTGGAGATCAGGCAACAATAAGATCAGCAAAAAGAAAACGACTGGATCAAGGTGACATCTTTAATTTTGGGAAAAGAAATCTCAGACCGGAAAGGAACAATCAGAAACCGAGAGTAGACGTCTACAGTGGACCCAATCAAGACAAGCAGGACCACAACATTTGTCGGTTAGCACGCAATAGACTAGGGCATAAGAAGTCATAGACTTAGCATTATGTGTAGAAGCACGATAGATGCGGCAGACTAAGGCTGGTTGACTAACAATAGATTTTTAGTACCTTTCACCTCATTTGAAAAGGCGAGTGGAAGAGATTCGTAAGTTGGTTCCACCTGAAGCTGTGGGGGGATTGCATTGGGGCTGTGATTGTAGGTTTGTGCGAATCGGTTCTCGACGCACCGCCCTGCTACCCAGATGAATCCGTGTTAAGCTCCTTTTTCTTCGATCCTTCGAAACCCAATTTTTCTACATAACAGTAGACGTGTTTGATCATAGACGTGGTCCGTGAAGCAAAGGCTTGACGATGAGAATTACTCGGGATCTACAGCCTCAACTTAGTCTCCCATCCAGCTTAAGAATTCAAACTCTGTTGGCCTACCCAGCGAGGCTGGATTATATGTGCCATCAAAGGCTTAAGGCAGAGTGCGATAAAATAACGCCTCGAATAGCACAGATAGGATTGCAGGGGTCAAGTGGAACACCTGAACCAGAGAGATAGAAGACGGATCATACGGGCAAGAAGGAGACTCTGATAGGACGTATGGAAAGAGAATTGCGGAATAATATTGCAGATTCAGATCAACGTTTCAACAAAATGGTAGGGATTTGGGGTGAGAAAACCAGCGGAGGATGTGAAGAGGTCTGATTAAATCCGCTTAAAAGGGTACATCATACCACATTTAAATAAGCAATTAAGAAATTGTGATAGTGAAGACATGGTACGAAAATATAGGATAGGTAAATAGCACAGGACAGAAGGAGAGATACCAAAACTGTTGAGCAGGCAATCGGTGAAAAGATGGACTTCATTTGTCTCTTTGATGAGTTGTATTGTGGTGCTAAGAATTGCAAGGCTCACTGACGATGTCGACTACGATGCCGGCAAAACATCTGGGAACGTACTAAGTCCACGGTCCGACTCGGAAAATTCTCATGCGTACTATAACTCCGGATTAGGTCCGTTCCTCTACGTCTTCCTGCCAATACGACCACGTTGCGAAAGCAAGGTCGAACAATTACTAATAGTTTTCTTAGTTGGGGCCACAACTAGTGAATAGGTCAGGTTATGCTAGGAGTTAGGCAAAGGAAGGGTTCACATGACAAACGTTACCTGGCACAAGCATGAGTTGTAGAGCAAATTACAGATAGAATATAAGTCGGAGACTATATTAAATAATCTATCTAACACTGGTGTTCTAATATGATGAAGTTATGGCAATAAAAAAACTGCTGGAACATATCGAACAATCCGCTTCAGATGTGAATAGGGAGCTCAAAATACAAGCTTTCATGTGAAGGGACACTTATAAGATATATGACGGAATCAACTACTTGGAGATTTTAATAATTTGACCGTGCAGAACCCTAATAAAAAATACCTATACTCCAAAAGTCAAATAAAGGCAGAACAAGGATTAACTGACATAGAGACAAATAAAAAAAGGATATCTATGTTTAATGTGATAATAACGAGACATCTAATTTTAGCAATGATTTTGTACATATAAGTCATCATGATTCAACACTGAATTCATCTGCTACAATTTCTCTATATTTGCTTTCATCTCTTTTCTACTTCATAAGCCTATTCACGCAACACAATAATTGAGTGCGTGGGTTTTAGCCTATTAAATAAAACCCCCGTGAACAATGATATATTAAAGAACGGAAAGATCAATTTACAAAAGGAGTAAGGAACAACCGCAACACCGAGGAAGCATTAATAAGGAAAGATCTGAAATTTTAGGGAACATCACACTGAAAGGCCACAAGATCAACATGAAATATTTGCTTTAAAGAATGAAAATACAAAAACAAAGAAAGATATTAAAAAATGACAACATCCTCATTTAAAGTAATATTATTAAGAAGATATTAAAAGTCTTTGGTGATTTGGAAAAGGCTGAAAATAAAAAAGGAAAAGACTAGGCTTGTAAACGGGAGTAAAAACTCAGTAATAACTAAATTACAAATAGTAATATTCGAGTTAAGTAGCAAACACGAATAATAACTCAGTCTCCATAGGTCGTGTAAGATGATGGATGATTTAAGGACAATAAAGTTGTGTAGCTTTACGCATTTTTTGATCAAATTATCCTTAACTTAAGCGAATGAGACAGTGTTTGCTAACTTTAGTCCAAATATCATAAGCTATGAAAATAAATGATCGGTAGATGCAGCCTGCTTTATTGAAGATGAAGTTAAAGCAAAGGATTGCGTCATGATAGGGTAGTGATGAAAAAATAGAAAGAATCTAGAATCTGACACTACATAGAAGAGGACCCCCTCACCCATAGCCAAAAGTCCAAACTAGTCTCCAGCAAATGGCAAAGTGAATTTGCTCAGACCGACATAATGTCAACATCGAATCTCAGCGTTATACTGCATCATGACATAAATAAGGATCGTGCTCACCTAACGTAGAAATCAAAGCCGTGCCCTTCAATAACCGCGTTTTTAAGTCAGCGTCTACAGGAGTTTGTTTACTCTGTATCAGCAAAGGGACTTTGCCCTGACCGACTTAAACTCAACGCAACGTTCACACGTTGCGCCTCTAAGCAGTATCTAATTATGATATTCTTTCGATCTAACTTACCTAACAGCTCG